ATGCATTTGATACACCCAGGATTAATGCCAGGCTCCTCTGTCCATGGGATTCTCCAGGAAACATTACTGGAGTGGGTTGCCATTTCCTCCTCCAGGGGATCTTCCTGACCCAGGGATCGAACCTGTGTCTCTTGCATCAGAAGGCAATGCTTTACCACTAGTGCTGCCTTGGAAGCCCCAGGATAGAAACTAAAATCCTGAGCACACCTACACAGACCCTGAGATATGCCTCAGCCCACTTCTCTTGCCTCGTCTCATACCACCTTTCTGTTTGCGCTCAGCGATCCAGCCACACTAGTTTTCTGGGACCTGTCTCACTACCCTCCACCCCAGGGCCTTTGCACATGCTCTCCCCTCTGCTGGAGCTCTCTCTCTTTGCATGGTTTCTCATGCTCAGTCCTTCCGAAGAGAGCTTGAGTGCCACCTCCCAGGAGAACAGCCTCTCAATCAGATCTCTTGGTAAATCATCCTTACGGAACTGTGTGACTTCCCTTCGGGTCACCTCCCTCTGTTATTTCCTCACTGATATGAAAATGCCCACTGAACTAGCATCATGAGGCCTCCATTTTGCTCACTGCTATCGGCATGTGGGAGATACTCAGTAAATGCTTGGTAAATGATTGAATAGAGAGAGCGGCAAAGGCATCGTCTTGAAGATAATGTCAAAGTAAGAGTAAGATGGGGAGTTAGCTTTATTTTACTTTTAAAGGAGAGAAAACACTAGGACAAAACGCAAAGCTACTCTCCAGTGATTTGGTTGTGGAGTAATATGAAGGTGTTTCCCGCTGAATGGAGAAGCCAGATTGCACTGAGTATGAATAGCTTTGGCTTCATCATAAGCAGTTCAAGTTGGGGCTAAGAGGTAGAATTTTAGGTTAGGAAACCTAAGTACAGAGAAGTGCCCTGTCGTTTTGACATGCAAGACATTACTCCTTTTTCTGGTGAATTTTGTTTTTGCAGTCTTGGGCAGGCAGGACCCATGCTAAAGAGGATCTAATTAATATATGTGATCATTTCCGAGTGTGGAGAGTAAGAGGACAGCGTGGGGGCAACACGAATAAAATTAAGAAATCAGAAAAGATACACTTATTTGAAGATTTTCTAAAGAACCTTGAAAACCACAGGAGCTCCTCAAGATGTTTACATAATTGAAAGTAATTTATTTGGGATTGAAAGGAATAATAAGACATTCTCACTTAAGTGCTAGTGGAGGCACAGGTATTAGACTCTCGATGTGGCCTGTGCTCACCTGTGTCCTTGGTGTTTTGTCCTCGGGCAGCAAACTAGAGATGTGTTTTAGAGAACAGACATGGAACACAAAATATTAAATGAACTTTGCCGTGTTCACAGTGCCCAGCAGTGTCACCTCCTTCTTGTTTGGCAGGGAAGGAGCTGCACATTTGGAAACTCAGCAGTGCATTAAGTATTTTAATAATTATTGTTGGCACACAAAGCATATGGCCTTTCAGAACTCACTGAGTCAAGTGTTGAAGTCTTCTTCTAGGGTTCTAAAATTACTTTACAAAATTCAGACAGAGTTAAATTAGGGCACATTTCAGTGTTTAATTCATGAGCCTTGTGTTATAAGCAAGGGAATTAAATTTTCTTCTAGGATAAAAGAATATCTATGTGTAACTTATTTTGTTAATGTAAAGGAAAAAGCAAAATTCACATCGCACAATAAAGTTATTTGCATTTAATTAGAAAAATCTAGAACCTCTGCATTAACAGGCCGGCCTTGTGGCTTCCTTGTAGTTACTGTGTACTCCCATTCGTGGCCTAAGACCCACCTCAGATATCCCCCCATCTCAGCGGTCTTCATTATCTCCCAACTCACAATTTATATCAGTGGCTCAGCAGTAAAGAACCTGCCTGCAATGCAGGAGACACAGCCGTGGGTTCGATTCCTGGGTGGAGAAGAATCCCTTAGGGAAGGAAGTGGCAAGCCACTCTAGTATTCTTGCCCAGAGAATCCCGTGGAGAGCCCATGGGGTCGCAAGAGTTGGACACAACTTAGCAACTAAACAAGAACAACATGGCCATAATAATGCTATGAAATAAGCAACTGCAACACTCAGTGGCTTAAAACAGTGAGCATGTCTTACTGCTCACAGGTGTAAGTTAGCAAGGCGCTCCTGGTCTCTGCTGGGCTCAAGCATGAGTCTTTGGTCAACTGTGGGGAGGGGAGAGGCTCGGCTGATCACGGCTGGCCTCCCTCAGATACTGGGTATCAGCCCGCCAAAGGCTGATCTCTTAGGACCTCTGTGTTTACCTCCTCATGTCTCTTGCATGCACAAGAATCAGCATCACTTCAGTTGGCCAGCCCAGGCACATTCTCAGGTTGGCCGGGGCATCTTCTCATGGCAGTCTCAGAAAAGGGAGAAAGTGGAAGCATGCTAGCATTTTTTTTTTTTTTTGCCCAAGCTTCCAGTTTCATCACATCTGGCCCATTGGCCAAAGCAGGTCACACACCATGCCCAGTGTCAGAGTGGGCGGAGACTCCAGAGTCTCAGGGCTAAGGGTGTGGATAACAGGGAGGCCTGTAGTTGGGGATACCATCGGTCCACCCCCACCCCTGCCACCCTCAGCATCAATCAGTCCCTTGTCTGTGCTGCCTCTGTCTTTACTCAGTTCCGCTGTACTTCTCCCATTGTATTAAATATAGTTGCTCGCGTGTCCATCTTCTCTAAAAGATCTCTGTGCCTCTGTGCATTCATCCTGAGTATTTTTTAACCACCTGCTAGTGTCTTATTCTTCTACAGACCTCCCAGTGCCTAGCACTGGTCCTGACGTAGAAGCAGCTCTCACACTCACTGAGGACGTGTTGAATGAATGCTGCATGAGCGCGCACACCTGTGGTTGTTTCCTCCCCCTTCCGAAGGAAAGGGTAGGACAGATGCCTCTCCGGATCCCCGCCGAAGGGTTCTTCCCAGCTCGAGCATCGAGTGAACCAGAGGGCACCTGCAGTGGAGCTCTCTGAGGCTTACACACCTTTCCGTTCACTCTCCCACTTCTCCCTTCAGGAACTAGGGTTTTCTTTTTTGTATTATCCTTACTCTTCTCAGAGGAAGGCAGAAAACCACTGATACTTCACACATCCTAACTTTTCACAGCTTGCTCGCCCCCGCAGTTTTCCCTGGAGTCTCTCAATTCCACAGCGAGGAACGGTCGTGTTCTGGGATTTATTTAAGCTCACGGTGTGGCTTGAGGGGAGCTTGATGGCTTTTATTTGCTGGGTTTCCAAACTCTGTTGACTAAGAATACAGAGGAATTCTTAGGAAACGCTTTACACAGCTATTGAAACAAGGCCCTATTCATATAGGGCGTTAATTCTGTCAGTATGATATTAAATGGATTGCCTGATTATTTTCCAGTTCCATAGACACCTACAGTGGGTGTTTCTGGGTAGAATCATAATTTTAAGTTTCTTGACTTTGCAAGAAGTTGTGGAAGTTGTTTGTGGGGCAGGGGACAGACAGTGCAGCTTAGGAGTCAGGCAGGCTAATCTAGGTTGCCTGTTCTATGGGTCAGCTACGTCCTCTGACAAAGCCTCTTCTTCTCGGCAGTCAGACAGGGCCATACAGAGACTAACAGAATAAAGCTGGTATGTGATGAGTGAATTGTATTAATTGTTCAGTTGTACCAATTGTATTCATTGTGACATATCTATTGCTAAATTATTTTCAATGTTATTATGAATGATAGCCACTGTATCAGTGGCTACTATTATTGTATGATGCCCTATAATTTTAAAAGCTGCAAATATAAATTATTAGTGGGAAAAGTTATTATCATCTAAATCACACGATCTTCATGTTTATTTTTACGTAAAAATTATTACTTTTAAGACTATTCTCAAGGTTCTACTTTAAAATGGTACTCAGGCACTTTACCTTTTGAAATGGTCTGGAAATTTGCTTCATTCAATCACCAAATATCTGTTCAGTTGCTAGGTTGCTAGGTGCTGATCTTACAATGGTGATCAAGGTAGACATCATCCTCAAGTCCCCCACCCCACCCCCTACCAGACGTATCCTGTGATGAAAGAGCTACCATTAATGAGTCAGCATTATTCCCAAATCCCAGTTACCTCCGTGGTCACTACAACTGCATAAATTATCTGAGATAAATTAATATGTGACTAACTTCCCAGTTAAAGTAGGATGTGTTGATGCTTCAGGTTAGACAAAGGTGAAATTTTGGCTCTACTATTTGTACTGTAACTGTATTAATTTTTTAAACTTTATATTTTATTATCAAATAATATGTAGAATAGACATTTTTGAAATCTCCTTTATCCCCCCTCCATCCCTGAATTACTACTGATACGTGGCATAGAGATGGATGGAAGATTACTTGGGTACATACACAATAATAAAACATGGAAAGTTTATCTGTGGGGATAGTTTTTTAGGCTGCATCACAATTTCCTATGTGGTATCCTAGATTGGATCTCAAGACAGGAAAAAAAAGACAGTGGGAAAGCTGGTGAAATCTGAATAACATCTGTTGTATAGTTAATAAGATTGTATCAGTGTTAATTGCATATTTTTTTACAAATGTACCATGTTATGTAAGATGTTTATTTTAGAGGAAGGTAATGAAGAGTATATGGAGAAGTCGGCTTCAGAGAACCATAGGAAAACAACGGGGAAAAAATAGTGCTCTTACCACCCTGTGAGTTTCCAGACTTTTCCCCACCATGGTCAGTTTGTGAATGCCTTGAGAGGAGAGAAATTCTAACATTCGACTGAGAAAAATATTCTCAGCATAGTACGTCTGCTGTAAAATCATGATATACAATACTGTCATTTAGGTCCTTTGGAAGTGAAGAGTAGATATTGTAGGGTTTTCTCACTTGCCTGGAATTTTCAAAGGTGTTTTCTTGTTTGAAAGAGATAATCCTGCTATTGGTCTCTTTTCATGGACAAATTTTTATCACTTAAAAATTTGAATTTGAATTTGAGTGGGTCAGAGATTCTCTTTTTTTACTTTCATAGGTGCAAACACAAGTTCGCCTTGCCAAAAAAAGCTTTGACAAATTGAAGATGGATGTGTGTCAAAAAGTGGATCTTCTTGGAGCGAGCAGATGCAATCTCTTGTCTCATATGCTAGCAACATACCAGGTAACAAAGTGAAAACTGTTTGTTGCAATGAAACAAGTATGTGACAAGCTTTAGATGGCAGAAAAATGGGTTTTGAGCCCACAGTGTGATTTGGGCAGAGGAAGCTCTGATTGCCTTTGCCATAATTTACCTCCCACGTCTCTCCTTTTTAGCATCCTGTGCTGTGTGCAGAGCTGCTTCAGTCATGTCTGACTCTGGACCCTATGGACTGTAGGCCTTCCAGGCTTCTGTGTCCATGGGATTCATCCTGCAGTCAATCAGACTGATGATTAGCTATTCCCTGAGCATACACTGTAATTCCCCACTTCCCTGCATTTATTTAGGTGGCTCCTTCTGCCTGAGTGCCCTCCTTCTCCACTTGAACCTTTCCGAATTCCACTCATTTGATGTACCAACACTGTGTTACCTCCTTCAGTAAGCCTCTTCTGAACTCTCTGAGCATTGTTGCCTGTAATTCTCACGCCACGGTCACTCCCTCACTAGGTTGTCATAATTTAATGAACTTGCTTTTGTCTCCTTACTGCTCCGCGTTCCCTCCGGATGGCACCTGCATTTATCGACTGTACTGTGGAGCACCAGCTGAGTGTGGGAGGGAGACTCTGGGTGTTGTAGGTTATATGCAATGGATAAGACCAGATTTCCTGTCCTCAGGGAATGTAGAGTTTGGAAAGGAAGTCAGAGACAGTAACATCTGACTATACTGTCTCTGCCTCAAAGACAGAACAGTGTGTGCTAAGTGAAATGAGATCTACCAAAAGTCCAGTGGAGGCTTGAAGAGGGAGACATGGAATCAGGTGAGGGATCACAAAGGTCCATTGTCAATGACCAGCCCTGGATTTTGGAGGATGGATCAGATGAGATGAGTACAAGAGACTGGAGAGGAGAGCCTCCTAAGGGGTGGAGCAGCATGAGCCGTAAGGGGGCAGGGAGCCGTTAAGTGTGGCTGAGACACGGGGTGTGAGTGGAGCTGTGATAGGAAGCCAGGCTGCAGAGGTGGGTCAGAATCGTGTCTCAGAAGACCTGGAAAGCCACGGGTGGACACACTTCTTCTAGGGCCCATGACTAGATCTGAGGCATTTAAAATGGTAATGGCTTTACTGTCTTTCTTTACAGACCACTCTGCTTCATTTTTGGGAGAAAACTTCTCACACTATGGCAGCCATCCATGAGAGCTTCAGGGGTTATCAGCCATATGAATTTACCACGTTAAAGGTATGAAGGCTAGAAAGTCCATTAGAAACTCTTATAAAAAGTCGAGTCTTGTTTCTATCACCAGCAGTGTACATTGAAGCAAGCATCATTATTATAACAGACTCTTCATGTCAAAGGGATAATTATGCCCCACCTCCGCCAGTAGAATCTTTTTTACCCCATCAGTATTCAATACAACAAAAGCCACAAGCATCCAAAACCACAGATTGAACCTTGGTACTTGTAACTGGGAGATGAATTGTGGTGATCCTGAGCCTAATGATTGGTCCAGCTCCTTTTAAAATACTTGTTTGATGTTGCTAAAGAAAAGATTATGCAAGTCTAGTACACTTTGTTACCTTTTACTTATTAAAATATATTCACATAGGAAGGTATTTTCTTTTTTCTCTTCTAACAAATATTTTATTCTGTGAGTACCATCCCATATAGAATATAACTTTTTCCTAACACTGCAGTCATATTTTCTAATTGAAGCAGCAATATTAAACTCAGTGATTTCTCAACCCAAAAGGAATGCATGCAAAATATCAGGTCCTCAGCCTCATGACTGAAGGTGGAGTCGTTTTGCTGTCTGATGGTTGCTGCGGGTGAATGCATATTGCGATAAGGAAGTGATTTAGATTCTAGAAGAATTTTCAGAATGGTGGCAGAACACTGGGTGCCTTGTTGCCAGGTCAGATTAATATCTTTGAAAGGAAGAGATCAGGAAAGAACTCATTAAACTTCATCTTGAAAATACCTTTCTTTTAATTTTTCAGGCAGTTTGTAAGTAGGTCTCATCACTTTGCTTAACAAAACATTAAGAAGTTTTTACTATTTTTTTCTTTTTATTTGTTGCCCTAAAACACCTCTTTGATGTTGAGATGTTTGTAATGTCACCATATCTACAAAAGTACTAAGACAGTAGTAACCCTGTGTATCCCTGGCCTCCAGTGTTAAGGAATATTCGACTCCTTAAATTTCTCTGTGATATTTTTTCCTGCAGAGAGGACAGAGCTGATTATGCTAGAGGATTTCCGGGCAGAGAATTTAGTGAAAGTCTGGTGGCCATGCTTTAGGATATAATTCAAAATATTTGCCTTTTACATCCCCCAGGCCTTCCTTAAATTATGGTTTAAGTAACAGTTTAATTATAATATAAATTCAGTAGGACTAATACATCTGTTAAGGTGTAATAAGATTATAATAATGTTAAGAATGTAAAGTGTCCAGAAGTCAACCAAATAAAGTGTGCTTTTATTACCTCTTTAGAATGCTATTCATCTAAGCTTTCAATGATGACATGTTATATTAGAATCTGACGCTAGTAGCTAATTATTTTCTTTATATGGACTCAAACCCATATAATAGAACCCTGTTATTACCCAGCCCATTACTGCCTAGATGGAGGCATGTTGCATATCATATTGTATGCCACAGACTGTGAGAATGAAAACCATGAATACCTATGTGTCACAGTCAAATATGGACTACAACCTGATTTACCAACCCTCTTGCACTAATAATGTTTTAAAAATACAAGTCTTTTATATAAAAGATTTTGACTGGATCAAGTCATCTTTTAATACACATATGGATATATCCACATATGTTGTATATACACACGTGTGTGTGTATGTATATACACATATGAATGGCACTGTATATCGATAATGAATATTTTGAAATTTAAATAAATGTTTTCATGATTTACTTGTTCCCTGAATTTACCTAAGCAAATAGCCCCTGAAATGCCTTTTGAGACACTGGCTGGAAAGAAAACAGTGTCTTTGGAGAGGCGTGCCAAGCTTTGTTAATGAAAAGCAACTCGTTTGCTTTCTTTGCTGCAGGGCGTATTCTGAGTGTGTTGGTAATTGTGCCAGTGCTGCTGTATTTCCTGACTGTTAGTTTTATGCTTGATGAAGGACGATAATGAATGTGTTAAACAGTCGGTGCATCCTGTTTGGAGCAGCGTCTTCTGTTGCAGAATTAGAGGGATGTAACTCACATCCCAGGAGTTCAGGTTTTATTTCTTATAAGCCTTTCTCTAGAAAATACATGTAATTATTTCTTATATTTTTGTATTTATATTTTCTTTGTAAAAGTGAACCGAGTCTCTATCTCACACAACTTGAAATTTTTCCAAGTGACTATTTTGACATTTTAGGAATATTTTGTGGAGTTTGCTCGGCGTTCAAATGTTCTTTCAATGAATTTGTAGGGGAGAAAGGCCTGGTGTGATTATATTGATTCCATGCTTATTGACATACTCCTTCATCATTCTAATTTGATGATAAATAAGTTTTTGTAGCATTTTAACCTTGTGGAAAATTTAGTCTTAAAATTTTAAGTTATTTTTTAAAAAACTCTGTTAATCTAATAATGGTAACAACTCAAACTGAGAGTTGAGAAACTATCTTTTGAGTGGTTTCCAATAAAAGAATCAATTCCCTAATTTCATATTTTCAAACAATACATATTTATTGGTTCATTACAATGTTACTAAACATACATATTTTGCATGAATAATCATCATTGATGTGCTCGTTTTATACTGATTCCAAATCACCTGAGAATGGTTTTTACATGGTAGAAGTTATTAAGTCGTGGGGAGAGGAATGGAATGTGACTAGCCCTATCCTGAAAGCTTTTTAGAGAAAGTAATTTAGACTAAGAGTTTAAAGCTTTTGGGGGGAAAGTACAAGAAGTGCTGTCAGTAGGAAAGCAGTGCCCGTCTTCAATTACCAGCCTTCAGATGTGGTCACGTTTGCTTCATCCTTTCAGGATGTCACTCACTTACACATCTCCCCACAGATCCAGAACAGGCGTCAGGGGGGGACAAAATTAAAACATAAAAAGGAAAAAAAAAGCCCTTAGGAGTCAAGTGGCTTTTCTTTGGAAAATCTAAAATCCTGGCCTTGTCTCTGCTCTTTGGCATGCCGGCACGTGGACTGAGTCGATTGTCTTTACAGAGAGTAAGCAGTGGGGCCTTTGGGGACATGGACAGGCTCCCTGGGAAATGCTGGTTAAAGGGAAGGCATGTCCTTCTGCATTTGTATTTGGAAAGAGCTGAGGACCTATATTGAATGGAAATAGTAGCCGAGTGTATTCCTGTGGTGTGCCCCATTCCAGGATTTTGGGGAGGGAAGCAGGTCTTAGACTCTGATAACGGGATAAAGCAAAGTACGTGGGAGCACAGACAGTCCAGCTCCGCCACCGCCGGTCGTGTGGTGGTGGCGGTGGCGCTTTTCATGAGAGTGGCAGCCTCCGTAGGAGCACCAGGAGCCCCTGGTGGGGATGGTAGGGATGCACTGATTAAACATTCTTTAACAGGTCCAGAAGGGGCTTCCCAGGTAGTGCTAGTGGTAGAGAACCCAGCTGCCAATGTAGGAGACGTCAGAGACACCAGTTCCATCCCTGGGTTGGGAAGATCCCCTGGAGAAGGAAATGGCAACCCACTCCAGTCTTCTTGCCTGAAGAATCCAACGGAAAGAGGAGACAGTTCATGGCATTGCAAAGAGTCAGACACAACTGAAGTGACTTAGTGTGAGTGCACGAATAGGTCCAGAAAACTGCCATTGGCAGTATCACTACAGAAGGGTTTGTTGTGGTTGTCCGGTTCTATAGCCCAGCTTCCGTTACTTTCTTTGTTGTGTTATTATCATCGTTTAGTCACTCAGTCATGTTTGACTCTGTGCGACCCCATGGACTGTAGCCCACCAGGCTCCTCTGTCCATGGGATTTTCCAGGCAAGAATTCTGGAGTGGGTTGCCATACCCTTCACCAGGGGATCTTCCAGACCCTGGGATCAAACCCAGGTCTCCTGCATCGGCAGCCTGAGTCTTTACCACTGAGCCATAGGGAAGCCCTCAGCGACTTCCTTGCTCCCTGTTTTCACCCTGCATTGTTAGTTTTGCACAGGCAAAGCTGTGAATAGCAGTGGGACAGTAGGCCTCACAGACCTTACCCAGGGAAACCAACCTCCTCCCTCCCTACTCCCCAAGACACCCCTGCAGCCCTTCTGCCCTGAGGCCCTGGTCTTGGCTCGGGTCATTCCCACCAGGGACAGGAGAGGGCAGGGCCAGCCTGCACCCGGAAAGGTAGCAGGACTTCCCACCCCCGAAACAGGGCTAGTACTAAAAAATGCACTTTGCCTTTGCAGCCAGTCCTGTTCTGTGCCAAGAGTTTAAGGAAACCTGAATTTGAAAACCTAACTGTGCATGTTCAAAAATAACCATTGAAACAGATGTGCCAATGTTCCCTCCTTTCTCTCCTGGGGTCAAGGACTTAGCATGATGATATGGATCATCATTCTGGAGACTGAAATGCTTTTAGCTCTCAAAATTCAAAAAACATCTTTTTCTAAATTTTGTTTTTCTCAAATCTCTATGCCTAACAGCCTCCTTCCAACCCACCTCCACATTTCTTAGTTAATCACTTGAGCATTTACTGACAAGCCACATGGCTCTGTAGTTACTCACTTTGAAAATAAAGCCATAATAGTTTTTATGAAAATTGGGTAAATATCTTTGCGATGCAATTTTAGTTGCCAGCCTCAACATGGCAATTACTCATGGCGAACATCCAGAATATCCTTTTAGACTTTCAAGTATTCTCTCAGTGTCATTACTTTACACAGCATTTAGCAGAATAATGTTTTCCCCCAAGCTGCTCCAGACCAGATCACTGCAAACAGCAAATTGGGATGCAGCTGGGTCACCGGGAGAGGAGGGGCAGAGAGACTGACCACCACTACCACTGAAATCAGAGATGGACAAGCCCAAGCTCAACTGCTCATCCATTCATCCTTTCCATCCTGTGACTGACATTGGTTCTTCCAGGCAGCTGATAGCCAGGCCCTGTTCACAACAGCGCAATGTTTCTCCATCCATCTCTTCTCATTTTCCCACTTTTCCTTGAGGGAAAAGGAAAGAATATTATCATTGTATGCAGAGTTACTTTATGCCAGGCACTCTACTGAGGGTGAAGGGCAGTAATGTCTAGGAGAATTTCTCATGCTC